CTCCCTCCCAGGGCTGGGCCATTGGTTATTATGAAACATAAAGCTGTTTGAATAAATAAGAGCAGGGTATCGCAAGAGTAGGCCAATAACTGAGTCCCGTTCAGTTCATCATGGCGTCATCTGAACAATATAGACAACAGACGATGCAGCTCTTTCGCGAGCAATGCGGTCGTTTGGCCACTCTGGGAAATGACGGCAGCACCGCACGAAAACAGCACCGAGCTGAGAATTGCAAACAGACTGATAGTGATAGCACAGTCCTTGACACTTTAAGAAAGGTCAACTTTTAAAACCATTCTGGAATCAAGAAAGAGATCCACATAGCACAAAGCGGAACTCTCCATAACAACGGTATCGACACACCAACGTTTGGATTAAAGAAAAACATATCAACACATTAATGGTCACTTCATTGGTTTCGGGGGAAAGCAGTTCACACTTCCAGAAACAACAGAGATAGAACAGAAGTACAACCAACCAACAAAACCACAGGCACCCCCCCCCCCTCCCCGGAACCCGTACATGAACGTTAATGAACATAGAAAAATATACAGAGACCAATACACTGTATAATATCATAAGCCACGGGAAGGAGAACACACCATAACAAACGAAGGAAAAAAACCAAAGAGAAACAAATTAAGCTGCGAACTGAAGAAGAAAACACACGACGAGCCCGGTGAGGAAAAAATTGAGCGGCCAAAGTGGTCATCACACGTTCACGTCATCGCAGCGAAAGAAGAAGAAGAAGCGTTTTAGTCAGGGCTTACAGAGTCCAGCCTCGGGGAGGGCAGGGCAAAAGCCACACACAAATTTGTGCACGATCTTGCATCAACTCACTGACCGTCGACCGAAGGCTGAGAGGTGAAGAAGAGGATGGAGGGGGCGGTGTGTCTACACAGGCGGGTGGAGGGGAGCAGCTGGGGGCAACACGTGCCCAGGAGGAGGAGGATAGGGGTCAGAGACGGCACGCACTCGCCTGCCGGAATACACTGACCCACTGGGAACGAGGTGGAGAGGCAGACCAGAAGAAGTTAAAAGGGGGAGGAGGAACAATGACACGTAGGTTAGAGGCCACTCGGAGTTCGGAAGAAGCAAGACAGACAGGCAGGCAGACATAATTTGTTGTTGTTGTTGTTGTTGTTGTTGTTGTTATTGTTGTTGTTGTTGTTGTTGTTGTTATTGTTGTTGTTGTTGTTGTTGTTGTTATTGTTGTTGTTGTTGTTGTTGTTATTGTTGTTGTTGTTGGGTAAAGTAAAGAGAAGCACATCGACACAATAGCGGCAATTTAGTGCCCGGAAAAAAGTAAGACAGACAGAAAAACAGGGGAAAGGCAAAGAAGTAGGACCTACCAGTAGCACCCCCAACCACCAGCAAGAAATACTTGAAGGATATAAAAGAAGTAGAACCTAACGTTGGCCCCCCCCCCCCCCCCCCCCCCCCCCCCCCCCCCCCCCCCCCCCCCACACAAGAAGACGGATCTGTGGGTACAAACAACAACTGTTGCTAAGAAAGCGGACGTAGAATCTAGAGGAAGTGGGTGCGTATTGTGAACGGTTGTTTAAGGCCACACTCCGGCCTGGCTTTCTGGGAACATGATGGGGGCCAAACAAACAGAGTTATCTCAGGGGCAGATAACAAAACGTTTACACAACAATTTCTTGTGTGTGTGTGTGTGTGGG